CCTGTGACACGGGGGAGCAGAGCCCTGGGGGTGTGGGGAGCTGGGGGGTCCCTGTGACTCTGTGAGGCCCCCATGATGACCATCACCCCCAGCCCTGCGGGCAGTGACCCCCTGGTTTCTCTCCCCCCGCAGCCCCCCCTGCCCGCCTGGTGAAGGAGGAGTTTGTCCATGACTGTGTCCAGATGGAGGTGCCCACGGGGTTGGGCTCCCCCGCCAGCGACCACGGCCCGGGGGCCAAGCTCCCACCCCGGGGAATGCCCCCCGCCGAGTCCTACCGCCAGCCACTGCCCTCCCTCCAGCTGCCCGAGCCTCCCCGCGCCCCCGTAAACATCTACCCCACCCTGCCCATGTCACCCACGGGTGAGTACAGCGCCGGGCCCTGGGCTGGGTGGGAGCTGCCGGGGGTGGGGGAGTGTTGGGAGGGGCAGGTTCTTTCTCTCTGGAATGGCCTGGAGCCCGGAGGGGGTCCCAAGCGCCCCCCTTCCCCCCCCGTGTTAGAAGCACGGATCCCAGAAGGGCCGTGGCGGGGTCCCCTGCCCAGCGGGTGGCACTTAGGCTGGATCGGGGGGGTGTCTGGGAACGAGGCGGGGGGGCTGTTTGCCCTTGCCCCCCAGGATCCCATCTCGGGCTGACTAGGGCAGGTTTGGGGGGACGACGGCGGGTTGATCGGTGTCTCTCTCTCCCCCCCTCCCCAGCAGTGGCCCCCGGGGGCCCCCTGCTGTCCATGGCACATGGCGAGGGACTGCAGCAAATCGGCTCCCCGCGCCAGCCCATGGCGCCCACCCCACCCCCAGCCCCACCAGCCTCGCAGCAGAACGGCTACCCCGCGCCCCCCAAGCAGTCCTACCACAGTGAGTATCCGACCCCGGCCGGGATGGGGAGGCAGGGCGGCCCTAGCGCAGGGGGATCAGCTGCCTGACTCCGGTCGGCACAGGCGGGGGCCTGGCATGGGTGTGCCCCAAATTCCTCCCGCATCTCAGGGGTGCAGCACGTCGGGAGGGGCTCCCTGGGCTGGGGGGGTGGGACATTGGGCTCCTGCTGGGGCGGGCTCCTCACTCTCTGCCCCCTTCTCAGGCACGCCAGCCAGTTGGACGGGCAGCAGCACAGCGGTCTACACCCCCAGCCTGGGGGGCCAGCAGCCCACCCCCCCGCCGCCCCCTCCACCGCCGCCGCAGCAGAACGGACGGAGCCACCCGCAGCCCCCGCTCCATCACCCCAACCACTACTGTACGTCGGGGGGGGCAGCAGAGCGCTGGGGGGCGGGCATGGCAGGGGGTGGGGGTGAGCCCGCCGCCGGCCCTGGTCCATAGCAGCCCATCGCTCCCTATTTCCATAGCCCCCGAGTGCTCCTGCCCTGGTGAAATGCAGCCACTTCTGGGGAGGAGGGCAGCGGCTGGCGGCGGGAGCTCTGGGGAGGGGCACAGCCTGCCTGTTACCTGCGCGCCCTGCTGGGGACTGGAACCCGGCGCCAAGGCTCAGGCCCTGCCGCTGCCCCAAGGCCAGCCCCAGCTGCCTCCGGTCCCCCTCCCCTCCTGTTTGCAGCTGCCTGACCAAGCCCTTCTCTGTCCCCCCAGGGCCCCCGCACCATAACGCGGCTCCCTACCAGCAGCCAGTCTCCAGCCACCCGGGTAAGTGACGCAGCCACGGATCCCCCCCGCCCCGCCCCCCAGGCCTCCCGCCTGCCTGACCTTTGCCCTGGGCCCCCGCAGGGCCGGAGTTCTGGTGCTCCATCGCCTACTTCGAGATGGATGTGCAGGTCGGGGAGATCTTCAAGGTGCCGTCCAGCTGCCCCGTGGTGACGGTGGACGGCTACGTGGACCCCTCGGGGGGCGACCGCTTCTGCCTGGGGCAGCTCTCCAACGTGCACCGCACGGACGCCAGCGAGCGGGCCAGGTGAGGGGGGGGGCGGGGGTAGGGGCAAGGGGGCGCCGCCCGGGCGGGTCCGTCCCCCCCCGGGCACCAGGCTGAGCCAGGCTTCCTGTACCGCAGGCTGCACATCGGCAAGGGGGTGCAGCTGGAGTGCCGGGGCGAGGGCGACGTCTGGATGCGCTGCCTGAGCGACCACGCTGTCTTCGTGCAGAGCTACTACCTGGACCGGGAGGCTGGGCGCGCCCCGGGCGACGCCGTGCACAAGATCTACCCCGGCGCCTACATCAAGGTAGGAGCAGGGCGGCGGGGGGATTCGCTGCCCCGGCTGCTGGGTGTGGACAAACCCTTCGGTTCCCCGGGCTCCGAATCCCGAGGGGGCCGTAGGAGCCGTGCCCCCCGCCACCCCGGCGCTGACGCTCTTGCCCCCTCCCAGGTGTTCGACCTGCGGCAGTGCCACCGCCAGATGCAGCAGCAGGCGGCCACGGCGCAAGCGGCAGCTGCGGCACAGGCAGCGGCGGTAGCGGGGAACATCCCGGGGCCCGGCTCCGTGGGAGGCATCGCACCGGCTGTTAGTAAGTGGCCGGGGGGGGCTTCGCCCGGCCGGGGGGGGGGTCTGGCCGCTGGGTTTGCAGGGGGTAGAGCGGGCAGGGGGGCTGCGTGGCCAGGGGTCTGGGAGATGCCACTTGGAATAAGGGAGCAGCTGGAGTGCTAATAGTGGTGGAGGGTAGGGTTCGGAGCCAGGACTCCTGGGATCTCTCCCCGGCTCTGGGAGGGGAGTGGGGTCTAGTGGTTAGAGCAGGGGGGGCTGGGAGCCAGGACTTCTGGGTTCTTTCCCCGGCTCTGGGAGGGGAGTGGGATCTAGTGGTTAGAGCAGGGGGGGCTGGGAGCCAGGACTCCTGGGTTCTCTCCCAGCTCTGGGAGGGGAGTGGGGGCTGGTGGGTTAGAGCAGCGGGGGCTGGGAGCCAGGACCCCCGGTATGTCCCAGCAGTGGGGGAGGGGCCCGAGTCCCCCGCACTCCAGCCCTGCCTGTCTCTCCTTTGCCCCCTCCCAGGCCTCTCTGCTGCCGCCGGGATCGGCGTGGACGACCTGCGGCGCCTCTGCATCCTGCGTCTGAGCTTCGTCAAGGGCTGGGGGCCGGACTACCCCCGCCAGAGCATCAAGCACACCCCCTGCTGGATCGAGGTGCACCTGCACCGCGCCCTGCAGCTGCTGGACGAGGTGCTGCACACCATGCCCATGGCCGACCCGGGGCCCGTCAACTAGTGGGGCACCACCCGGCCACGCGGCTTCCAGCCTCGGCTTTAAAGGGCCGGCGCTGCCTTCCATCCATGAGCGTCCGTGGGGCCTTATCTTACCATGTGGGGTGCCCGGACTCCCCCCTCCCCCACGATCCTGCCCCTCCCACTGAGCCCTGAACCGGCCGCCACCCTGGAGCCAAAGCGAGCCGGCCCCATCGGAGCGCCCCGGCTGCCGGGAGTCTCTGGGCTCTGTCGAGACTCTAGCAAGGGAGCGACTGCCCAGATCTGCTGGTCCCCTCTGGGCTCTGCCAGGGCTCGTTCTGGGGGCGCGGGCACGCCGACCGGCCGGGGACTGTCTAGCCTGCTGGGTCTCTTCCAGCTCGGTGATCTAGGAGGCGTTTTATCCTTCCCTCCCCTGCTCCATCCACCCACCCCATCCCTCGGGCGACACTTCCTCCTCGTCTCTCCCCTTTGCCCCACGCTCGGCCAGGAGCTGCCCTGCGGGGAGGGGGTTCTGGGCGGCTGCTCTCCCTCCCCCTCCATGAAAGCCCTCCCGGTCGCACTCGCTTCTTGGGGCGGTTTAATTTAAATTGTAATAAAAAGCCAAATAACGAGGGCCCTACCAAATTCACGGCCATGAAGAACGCATCACGGACCGTGAAATGTGGCCTCCCCCCGTGAAATCGGGTCTTTTGTGTGCTTTTACCCTATGCTATACAAATTTCACAGGGGAGACCAGTTCTCAAACAGGGGGGCCTGGCCCCAAATGGAGTTGCGGGGGGCGTCACATGGTTATTTAAGGGGGGGTCGCGGTATTGCCACCCTCACTTCTGTGCTGCCCTCAGAGCTGGGCGGCCAGAGTGTGGCAGCTGCTGACCGAGGGCCCTGCTCTGCAGGCAGCACCGCAGAAGTAGGGGTGGCAGTACCACAACCCCCCCCATAATAACCTTGCAAACCTTCCCCCCCCCCCACCTCCTGTTTGGGTCAGGACCCTACAATTACAACACTGTGAAATTTCAGATTTGAATAACTGAAATCATGAAATTTACGATTTTTTTAATCCTACGATGGTGAAATTGACCAAAATGGAGGGCGAATTTGGTAGGGCCCTACAAATAACTACAAGTACCAAAAATCCCAGCACGGCACTGCCGGGGCCTGGCCTCCTTCGCCCGCTGCAGGGAGCGTGGGTAACCGGAGATCCTGTAGCCAGTGCCCCCTTGTGGCCAGCTCTGTAGGTGCAGCTCATTGGCCTGCCCTACTCGGCTGGGTTTGCACCCTGGGGAGCGTCTCACTCCCGGGCCAGGCGAGGGGAAGGAGCCGGGCAAGCGGCGTGCTTTCCTCCCATGCACTGGGCCCTCCGTCAGTGGGAATTCAGACACTTCATGTGGCTTTTTTAATCGTTATTTAAATGATCTGGGTTTTTTCCACTGGTCTCATGTCTGCTCCTTCCCGCCAGGGCGCGCTGGGGCGTGGGAGGGGGAGATTAGCTGGTTTCGTTCCCCGCAGCGGAGGCTGAGACAGGGACAGCCGCTCAGACCTGGTTCCCTGGTGCTTTCTGTTGAAGTTCTGTCCCAGCAGCTGCTCCACTCGCCGGGCAGGGAGGCGAGGTATTCGGGTCATGCTGCAGAGAGGGAGACCGGACGCCTGGGTCCCATTCCTGGGCTCAGTCCCATGGGAGCAGAGCAGAGCCTGGGGCCGTCTGCCCTGATGTCCTGTGTGTGCCAGTGGCCGGTTGGGGGGAGTGCGGGACCCCTGCGCTGATGGGGTCACCTGCTGGAGCCAGGTTCACGCCCTGAGGCAGGAGCTTTTCTCTGGGTTATTTTGTGTAACTGGATATTTCGGTTCTCCATGAAACCATCTGCATCCAGCTGCGCCCTTGGCCTAAATGAGAGCTTGTGGCAGAGAGTTCCAAAGGCTCATTGGGCTCTCTCTGCTCCGGAAGCCAATGGCCTCCTTTCCTCAGCAGTGAGCCAGGCTCCTGAAACCTGCCACCCCCTTCCTGCCCCCTGGCTCCCAGGCCACCACCTTCAGTCCTGCTTGGCTGCAGAGTGGGTAGGGGGTGAATCCCCAGGCCTCCTGTCGTGACAGATGCTTATGGAGCCCTGGGCCGTGGGGCTGGAGCTGGGAACTGGGTCTGTGCAGGCTGCAGGTAGCTCCCCGATTCCACGCAGCCTGCAACCATTGCAGCGGGGCCAGGCAAGGCGACCGCCAGGCCTGAAGGCGTCACTGACTCCTGCCCGAGGATGGCCAGGGCAAAGACGGGCCCTGCCCCCAACAGGCAGATCAGCCCCGGGGCAAGGAAAGCGGCACAGCCAGTTGGGCACGAGGCCAGCTGGCAGGAAAGGCGAAGCGAGGCCTTTAAAACACCGGGGAAGAGGCTTCAGAAACGTTTTCCCTCCTCCAGCCAGGCGAGGTTTGTGCCTCTTTCCCATCCCGGAGGAGCCCCGCCGGTCACGCCCACCGCCGGTCTGTCTCCCAACAGCTGCTGGGGGCCGTGCCGCATGTGATCAAGCGGCTACTGCATCAGCGCCCTGCAGGCAGCCATGTTTCCTTGGCTAGCCCGCCCACCCTTCAACATGCTATAAAAACTCCACAACCCACCTGTGCCACAACTTTTTCTGCATATAAAAGGCAGGGCCGGCATTAGGGGGTAGCAAGCAGGGGCCTAGGGTTGCCAGGGGGCCGTTAAAAGTTCGGTGGGCAGCGCAGCGGGGCGAAGGCAGGCTCCCTGCCTGCGCGTGGTTCCCAGAAGCAGCCGACGTGTCTGGCACCTAGGTGCAGGGGCGGCCACGGGGGTCCGCGCGCTGCCCTCGCCCCAAGTTGTCTGGGAATGTTGCCAATGGGAGCTGCGGGGGCGGTGCCTGCGGGCGAGGGCAGTGCGCAGAGCCCCCTGGCTGCACCTACACCTAGGAGCCGAACATGCCGACTGCTTCCGGGAACCCCACGGAGCCAGGGCAGGCAGGGAGCCTGCCTTCGCCCCACTGTGCCGCCTAGCTGGGGC